GAAAATAAATATATTAATTAGAAAATAATAAAAATAATAATAAATAATGACAAATGAAATAGAGAGTGTGAATAATAGTTAATGGAGGATAAACAATGACTTAAAGAGGAGTTGGAGACTTTATTCTGTTTTTTACTGTCTAAATATAGAAAATAGCGTCACGGAAATAAACTTCAACTAAGATGCTTAAATTGTTTGATAAAATGACAAGACATAACAATAAAAGGTAAAATAGAGAAGAGTTGAGATGTCAGAGCTCCTCAACTTTCCAAAAACAATTATGTGAGGTAGTTGTCTTCCAATGTCAATAGCCATGTGGCGGTCCCCCAAAACTCCTTCCAAAGAAGGAATCTATTACCCTCAAACTTAAATTTGTTTGTCTTATTTTTTAAATTTATTAAAAAACTATTTTTTTATTATTATTTTCAATAAATTTATAATTTTAAATTTTTGCTAAATTTAAAATCATAAAATTTAAATTATATTTTACTTTTGTGTTAAATTAAAATAAAAAGAGTATAAATTAAACAAGTTTCTTTTTTTATTTAAATAAATTACTCATTTTGTTCCAATGTATACGATTTATTTTATTTAGTCAATTTAAAAAAGAATGACACATTTTTATATTAAGTAACAATTTAATTTTAAAATGCATATTTTACTCTCAATGAAATGATTTATCGTCACACAAATATCTATCACTTACTTCCTCCGTGTATTTTTACTTGTCACTTATTCCTAAAATAGATTTTCATTTTTATTTGTCACTTTTGACATACAAAGAAAAAACAATAATTATTTTTTTTCATATTTTCCCTCAGCATTAAATTTTTATTTTTCAAATCATTTTTCAAGACATCATTTAATAAGAAATTGTTTAGTAGAATACCTATATCATTAATTATTTGGTATTTAGTGTAATTTTTGTGAGACATGAGATCTATTATCTTTTTTATCTACTTTTAAACGTTCGTACAATTCTATAATGGGAGATAAAAGTATTTGAAAAATAGACATCTTAAAATAAGATTAATCATCTTTATCTTTGAGTCATCAACCACTTTTTTATTATATTATTTTAAAAACCAAGACAATATCTAGCAGTAAAATATAAATAATAAACTAATATGAAATCCAACAGCTAAAATGTGTGGCGGCTCTTTCCATTATTTAGACTTAAAAAGTATATTAAAATCTTCATATAGATCTTTATTAATCAAGTTTGTGTTTGAATCGTTACACTATTGTACCTCATGTTTAAAATGGATCCAACCAATAATAATTGCTGTAAAAAATAGGGACAAAGATCTGAAAAATATCTCAACTTTGGTCGAATTTGTTGTTACGATACTAAACTTTCATGAGGACCTATTACCTCCCTAGACTATTTAATACCGTATTTTAAACATATATATTTGTCCACGTGGACATAAAAAAAATGTAAAATTATAAATAGTAATGTGTCCACGTGGACACATATATACCTTTAAAATACACTATTAAATAGTTCAGGGGGTAAAAAATATGGTATTAAATAGTCTAGGGAGGTAATAGGTCCTCATGAAAGTTTAGTATCGCAACAACAAATTCGACCAAAGTTGGGGTATTTTTCAGACCCTTATCCCTTTAACACCCAAGTATGTCATACAGACGTGTTACATAAAAAATTGATTTTGTAATCTTTTTAACATATTATTTTTCGGATATATGATTTTTTTAATAAGAAATATGTGAATAAAATTTCAGAAATTTCGATAGTAAATGAGTAAATGAAATCATTTTGATGTCATACAAATGAGGAGAAGAGATATACTTAACATAGACAATGTCATTTATTATGACACGTTTAATTTGCTTATAAGGCATAAATATAGAGCAAAAATGTTAGTTGAAATGAATTGAAGTTTTTGTCCAATTAGTTCAAATTAAATGAATCTTATATATATATAGGACCACCAATCTTGCTCTTGCAAAGGACAAAGTCACGAAGATGATTTTGGCAAAATGGCTAAATTAACACGTACCACCTCCGGCTACGTGTTCTTTGGACATTCGCCCATCCCCCACCAGTGAATTATTAGAGAGTTAAGAAAAGAGTGCATTTCCATCGTGAAAGATTCAATCCAGCTATAGATGTTTTGTAGTTTTAATAGAATAGACACTTTCAGAAATAGACCACACAAACCCATCTTGTTTGATGAAAAATTGTTGGAACTTTATGGTGTTAAATAAGTAAAAGCTTAAAGTTATATTATTTTATAATAACAACAACATATTTAGTGAAATGTCACAGGTGGAGTTTAAAGAGGATAGAGTGTATGCAGATTTTATTATTACCTCGTGGAGGTAGAGAGTGTTTTTCGTCAGTTCAAGGGTCGCAAATCCATAAAAAAAACAGTGGAGAAAACATGCAACTAACAAGGAAAGGAGTGCAAATCATACCAAAAAGGAACAAAAGCAACAAAATAATAAAATAGTGTGATAATCGAAACATAATAAACAACAAATGATGATAGATATCAAAAGCAAGAATGAGAATAATACGGCTAGTACAATATTATAATACACAAATATAAAGTTCTCTATTTTTTCAGATAACCAACTCCAATCCAATCCTCTGTTTACTTTCTAAAAAAGAATTACCTTCCGTCTCCTCAATATTATATTTTATTATTTCTATTTCATTCTTATTTTCTTATTTCATAATATAAAATATAAATCCATTCTTTCTTCTTTTTTAATTGCAATAATTGCAAAATGTGATTGCTAAACTCCGAATGCACATTCAATATCTTTTCGGCATGATTCTTGTTTCATCGCAAAATATTTCTTCTCTTAGGAATGTGAATCACGAATAGTTTGAACAATTATAGACCATTTAATATTGTGCATTCTTTATAGTGAAAATTAATAAAATTATATTTAAGTAACGAAAATTGAAAAAAAATCAAAATATTATTAATTCGGGATGAAAGTAGTTCATATTAAATAATAATATTTTAAAAATATTATATACATTTAAAAAGAATTACGTATATTAGAAATTTAATTAATGTCCTTATATGAAAATAATAGAAATAATATTAAAATAATGAAAGTGAAGTCGAGAGTGTAAATAGTAGTTAATGGAGGATAGAGAGTGACTTAAAGAGGGATTGAAGACCCCATTCTATGTTTAACTCTCTAAATATAGAAAATAGTGTCACAGATTTAGACTTCAACTAAGCACCTGCTCACTTATATTTTAATTTAATGCTTAAATAATTTGATAAAATGACGGAACATAACAATAAAAAATAAAATAAAGATGAGTTGGAGATGACAGAGCTCCTCAAAGGTTCCAAAAACAATTGTGTGAGGTAGTTGTCTTCCAATGTCAATAGCCATGCGGCGGTCCCCCAAAACTCTTTCCAAAGAAGGAATCTATTATTGTTCAAAATTAAATTTGTTTGTCTTGTTTTTTAAAATTTATATAAAAAAATATTTTAATTTCATTAAATTTAAAATTATAAAATTTAAAATTATTTTTTACTTTTGAGTTAAATTAAAATAAGATAAATAAATTAAAATTAAAATAAGTATAAATTAAACAAGTTCCTTTTTTTATATATAAATAAATTACTCATTCTGTTTCAATTTATACGATTTATTTTTAGTCAATTACATTTATATATTAAGTAACAATTTAATTTTAAAATGCATATTTCATTTTTAATGAAATGATTTATCGTCACACAAATATCTATCACTTACTCCCTCCGTGTATTTTTACTTGTCACTTATTCCTAAAATTGATTTTCATTTTTATTTGTCACTTTTGATATACCAAGATAAGACAATAATTTTTTTTTCCATATTTTTCCTCAGCATTAAATTCTTATTTTCCAAATCATTTTTCAAGACATCATTTAATAAGGAATAGTTTAGTAAAATACATATATCATTAATTATTTTCTTAGTAGATATGTAAGTCAAACTGTGACACATAAAAATGAATGAATTGAGTATTTTAGATCAATTTTTTTTAAATAAAAAAAATTCTTAAATTTTGTATCAAATTAAACACACCGAAGAAGTAAACTAAGTTTCATGAGAAAACAAGAACCAAGGTGGAAGGGCATGACACTGTCACGGTAATTTTACATCACAGGTTGGTTTCAGTATGTCAGAATTTAACAGGTCAGTACATATAAAAACTTACCATACAAGGATATGGTATCTCATAAAAACTCTTCTCTTTTTTTCATTTAGAATTTCAAATTAGATTGAAATTTGACTAATTTTAATTCGAGATGTATAAGATCTTAATAAGGGGAAAATGGTTTTTAAATTTAAATAATTCTATATTATTTTATAACATTAAAAAATTAAAAGAAAGAAGAGAGAGTATACTCTTGAATGATTTATTGCTATTGGGTTAACAAGTTTTGGTGCTTTTCTAAAAAAAATTATCGGATTATTGATTCGATTTTAATTTTTTAATATTGTTTTGAGTAAACTGATAATCATTAAGACTATAGTAATTTTCTATTTTTTCCTATATAAATATTAAATATTAATATCAGAACCTTAGTAGTTATTTTCTTTGTCTTTTAACCTTCAATACACACTTCATATTAATTTTGAGTTCACAAGAAACAAATTCTTTAATTTGTGTTGAACTTTTATAGATCTTTTCATGTTAATTACTATTGGTTCTATTTCATGAGCATTCTATGAAGTTATATTATTGTCTTGTCGCGCCAAATTGTTAGAGAGTTATATATTTATTTTATGAGCATTTAACTACTTGTTAGTTAAATCAAAATCGAACCGTTAAAGATCGATAAAAATAGCTTATTGATTTGATGTATTTAAAAATTAGATAAACCAAATCAATAATACACTAAACCGACCAATCACACCCCTTTCTTGGACGTGTAAGCAAAAACCCTACACTTCTTTCCTACTCATTAGCTATCAAATGAGTAAATCCGAAGTCGATTCTCAATCCAAAAAAATGTCAAAGCATACGAGATTGTTATTGAGAGATCTGACGGTAAGATTAAAAATGAAAAGAAGAGACTGAAGATCATACTTCATCTTCAGTCTCCAATAGGTAATTATCAACATGTTATTTGCTTTAAGCTTCTAAGTAGAGCATTTTTTACTTCATCTTCAGTCTCCAATCCTTGAGGAACTTTAACAAGTATGTAATGTAGCATAAGATCATTGACACTTGAGATGTTGGCATGGTAGATATGTAGTTCAATTTCTTGAAGAGCACACATCAATCTTGTTGATGGATAATCCACATTTTCTGATTGAACCCTAATCATGGCATCTTGACCTACCATCTTCACTTCAATCACCATTGTCTGGTTGTTTTTGTTCCAAATGTTGCACAAGATAATGTGAGATACTTTGTAACATTTAAAATGGGATTGTGTCACATGGAAGTAAAAAATAAATAAAATAGTTCGGAGACTTTATTATTATAGTTTTCTCACATGCATATCTTGGCAACAATAACATATCAGTGTAATTTCATAAATAGGAATTCAAGAAAGGTGGTGCGCACAAAGACATTATCCTATCTAGTGAAGGTAAATCTAGAAGTGTCCAACAGATGTCTGGATCAAATAAACTATTTTAAAGTAAATATGAAAAGGGAATACTAAAGAAGTTGTGATAAAAAATAATGGAGAGTTAAAAGAGACATGCATATATCGTGATATGTTTAAAATTACAAAATTCAAAATTCTGTTTTTAATTTAAATTTATATTTAGATATTTTTTGTTTTATTAAAACTTAATAAATTTAAATTAACATATATAACATGTCTTTTCATGGAATAATTAAGATGACTATTTTGAATTAATTCTTTTTTTTCAACTCTATAAATATAAGTCTTCTTGGAGAAGTGATCAAAACAATCCTTTTAGAAATACTCATTCCATCTCAATTTAGGTGATGTAATTTGACTGAACACATAATTTAAAAAATGTCTTTTGTTGATTTATTAAAAGTCAAAATCAATCTTTGAAATAATTGACAATACGAGAAGAAAGCGCCCCTTACATGATCCCAAGAAGTGGTAGAGCTTTGGTTGTCCACTACATTATCATTTTCCATTTTGTGTTTCTTCTTGTGCTCTGAATAATAGTAATTGTTATGAAGTTTTGATTCTAATTCATCCACTTTAGCTTTCAGTTGGGTAATATATGTTACAGCATCTGATAGCAATGTGGCTTTGTCCATTTTCGTTACGTTTGGAACCACCTCGCGCAACGCGTAGAATCGAGAGTTAAGTTTCTCTCTTCTCTGCCTCTCCGCCTCTACGTGGTTTCCTTGTGTCTCGCAAATCTCTCTCCCCTTTCTCCCCCTTTTCTTCAAAGTCTTGCTCTGTACAGGCAAATTCTGCATTTAAAGTTCAAAATAAGTACTTTTCACCTTTTTCATAAATATTACGTATTTCATTTGACTTTCAACATATTAGGTAAAAAGTTGAAATTTAAAAAATTTGCTAAAAAAAGAAATAATCATTATTTTTGAGACAAACAAATTCAAATAGAAAGAATATTTGTTTTTTTCAAATTCCTCAATTCTAATGCCCAAATGGCCACTAACTTGAGATTTTTTTAGAAAAAGCAAGAATGATGCTCATACATTCAATTAAATGAAAGAAATATGAACTAAAAAAAGTTTTTCTTTTCTGAATTTCATGCTCAAATTGAGACGAAGAAAGTATCTTCTTAACATTCTTGTTTATCCTTCAGCGTGATTCAAATCCTCTTGATTTTGGTGGATGTGTTCAACCACTTGAACCGACTCACTTGTCCCAGTAAATATTACAATATCGTAGTATAGATGTAACATATATCAACGCGAAAGCAATAAATTCAGTTGAAGCAACTCACCTTAAATCCAACTTTGTTTTCCTGTGGTGTTGTACCTACTACTACTTCACCTTTCTTTGCTTCTTGACCATATTGTTCCAAACAATTGAAAAGACCAAAATCATCAATTGGACCAATTGTTTCATAACCAAAGAACAGAGACTTGACTTGTTGAACCAAGTTCAAGTCCTGTTTAATCACTGTGCTCGAGCCCAGTTCGAGCACACCACTAGAAATTGGAATATATACAAAAGTATTAATCCCATGAACATAATGAGCTTCTTTAGCCCTTTCACAATGACAAAACTCAAATTGTTGATCCCCTGTTAGCCACACAAAAGAATCACTACTAAAACATTTTCCAACAACTCCTTCACCAACAGAAAAACACTGAGCTAAAGACATCAAGTAGAACCATTCGACGTCTTTATTATTCGTCGTCTTCATGTTTAAATGGCCATCACCCCATGTTAAAGAAAGACTATTATTCGACGATTGCCAGAAAATAGCATACGCCCAATCAGAATAATAATTTGTTTGATTCTTGAAAATATATTGAAGTCTATGTTGAAGGCTTGATCGTGATGATGAAGGGGAAAAGATTGGTTCATCCATTTTTGGTATTGATGATAAAGAGAGATGAATAATTGAAGCACGTAGGATAAGGAACACCATTAACTCAACTTATATATATGCGCTCATAGCCTCATACCTAACTTCCTCATTTGTCCTAATTTATGTGACGGTGTTCGAATTCGAAAGTTAAACAACAAATTTGTCACGACCTTGATCTGTCGTGAGTGACACCCACACTAACCCTTTAATGGAAGAACCAGCTACCAACCCAAGACTAACCCATCAACCATTTTAAAACCAAACCATGGAATAAAACGCTAATAAAATAGTCTTAAAACAATTATAAGTTTGAGCTTCTATAAATTTAACTAGTCAATTAAAACGATTGTGTAACCTAAAACTTGTAAGTCATAGTATCAAAACATCTAACCATCTAGGATGGAGGATGGAAGCCCAAATAATAAAAAAACATAAGTCTAGAATGTCTAAGTCGGAATAATGGACTAAGAAGGAAAGAGAGAAATCCATAGTAGTCCGAAGGAAGTATCTCCCTTGGATTTAGATGAAATGATAACATATTTCATTTCATATACTGTCTTTTCAGTTTTCGTAATCATATAACATGTATGCACTACTAACTACGCAATTAACAAACACACACACACACACACACATATATATATCATACATGGAAACACAACAATCATCACCTACCTCGAATCAAAACTCTAAATAACTGGAGCTTCCCTTGGAATGTGAAAAAGTCATGTTGGAATTTGGAAGTATTTTATTAAAACATGATTTTTCCTTCGATTTCTAACTGAATCAACTCATTGGGAAAACATATGCTCAGTGAAATATTAGTAAGTTTTTTTATTTTTCGTATAAAAAGACTATTATTTATTTTTTTACCGATTCAATCAAAATATTTATAATAACGGAGTGATAAGCATGTGTTTGGGCAGCATAGCTGAACTCCATACTAGACAAGCAATATCTAGTTTATGTACAAGTTTTTCCTTTTAAGTGTATCATACTACAACAAATAAAAAATTATTTTTGTGAGAAATCGTTCGTATTTAACCAATAAATTTTATAAGTGCTTTTTGAATAGTAATTATAGTATTAGTCAAATTTTTTAAAAGTGTTTCTAAATGTATTTTTTTCAAAAATATTTTTATTTTAAATTCTAAAAAATAAATTTTACTATTTCCGAAAAAGCTTATATTCCCCTTAAAATTTTGACTTAACATCTGTTCTTCTTTTTTCTAAATAAATATTTTTGGTCTTCCAAAATTTGGCCAAATAATCTATACATATCTATCTTAGATATTTTAGTTTTTAAAAAAAAGTATGCTTGTAAACAAAGTAATACGTGTTCAAACGTCATATCAAGAAATTTTGTTATTATAATATGTTTATTATAATGTCATTTTTGGCTATCAACCCAAATAATTTGAGCCTAGGACTAGGAGTATATTATTTATAATAAATGTTACATCGTACAATATTTATATATATATATGGACAGAAAGGCTTTGTTTATGGCATCATAATTTCGAAATTATTCTAATCATCTGCCAATTATAAAAGAGAGGAAAGTACTGGAAAACGTTTTAAATTGATCATCTTTTGCAATGCCTTTTATTTTAAGTTAAATAATATCAATATATACCTAGCTAATTGCCTAGTTGCTTATTTTATCAATCAATAATAGAACTTCTCAAAAAACAAGTTTTTCAGTATTGACAAATCAAGATTTTCATTAAAGGAGTTCGAGAAATATATATATATTGTATTTTTTTTTTGCCGAGGGGGTTCGGGTGAATCCCCTCCCAACCCCCTAGAACACCCCTTGTAAAAACTTGAAAATCAAATATCAATGGGTGTGTTTGGTACGAAGAAAAATAATATTTTCTTAGAAAATAAGTGACTAGTTCCTTATTTATTTTTTAATGTTTGATAATAAGTAGGTAAAAAAATATTATTTCAAAAATATTTATATGTAATCTAGCAAAACACTATTGGTGTGGGAGTAGGGCTTCTGCGGTGGCGGGGAGGTGGATGGTCAAGGGGTGGGGTGGGGGTGGGGCATTGGGTAGATGGGGATGAGACAATAAACTTGAAATGTCACTTATGGAACTTATTTTTTCTACCTTCATTAAGTCATTTTTCTCATTTTAAGAAAATTTGTTTTCTTAGAAAAAATACTTTTCAAAATATTTTAACCAACCAAACATGCATGCTAAATTTAAATCCACACCAAACACACCCTAAGTTAGGGCTTATATATCAAGTACACTAATTTGAAAATATGAGAAGGAATATTCCTAGATAATGTAAATGTAGCACGAATAATAAGAAGGGAAAGACCAACATGCACATGAGTAGTAGTGCAGTGGTGAGACTGTTTCACCCTTAATTAGAGGTCTCACATTTGAACCCTGGATATGGAGAAAATTATGTTGGAACCGCCACTGCCAAATGGACCCTACAGTGCACGATCCAAATTTAATGGAATTCTAATATGAACTCTGATCATCGAATTGGAGGAAAAAAAAAGGTCTTAAATCACACATCTCATTTTCTTAGTAGATAGAAGTTCCCAATGTCAGCAGTGATATATATGTGGTTTATTTTCAGACCAATAAATATGAAAGAAGATAATGTAGGCAATATGTATATAAATGTATAGGTTCAATTCAGTTTAGATAATTTTGTGATATACATATAATTTATGTATACATAAAGTTATAAATTTGTCATATATATTGTTTAGGTATACATTTTAAATGAATTTAATACAATATAGAAAAAAACATATATTGTAAACATTTGATTCATGTATACATAATAGTGATAACATGGTATACATTTATTTGCTTTTACCTGATTGGATAAGTTGTGCCTGTTTTTAGGCATACAAATAAGGTATAAAAAATTGAATTTCATTGGAATATAAAAATTCTTATTATATAGCAGCCCCTTTATTTAGTTGGCCAAGTTGTGTCAATATTTTTAAGTTTATAATTTGCTAATCTATTTTTCATTATGTAGATGCCAATTATTTGTGGGCGTGGTATATTTATGGGTCACTTACATAAATTTACTAGTTTAGTACCTAATTATTTCTCTTAGGGCCTTTTACTTTTTATTATTACGAAACTTATCAGAATATGGACTTCAAATACATGTATCTGAGCGTCCAGATGTATGTATCTCAGATACATGACGTCAAAATTAGGTATAATTTATTTTTGATACATTGTATCTAAGTGGATTCGCATGTATCTGACTCTCTCACTTGTCTATCTCGCTCTCTCGCTAGTAAATAAGATAGGAGTATTTGTTTTAGGGAAAATTGTATGAAATAGCAAACTATTAATTCAAATTAAATGTTATATCCATAATTTATTTTATTTGTATTCGCAGCAAACATCCTATTTTTTGGTCATCTGGTTCGATATACAATTAATCATTTTCGGTATACAATTACCCATTCGGTATACAAATGGATAAAATGTATAAAATGTGTTTGTGTTTGTATAAAGCGAGAGAAAAGTGTATATACAGACACAAATACATATATTTTCGTCCTATACACTTATAATTATACAAATACAGATCTTATTATACAAGTACAATGTATAAATGAATTTATACAAAACTGAACAATCATATATCATATATATATATATATATATAAAGAGAACCTTAGGCCCGCCTACGTGGCGCCACCACAAACCAGAATTCCCTTTTAATTTATTTATTTGCAAAACTAGTCTTCCCCTTTCATGAAAAGTTGTGACTTTTATGAAAAGTTGCGACTTTAATGAAGAGTTGCGACTTATGACTTTTATGAAAAGTTATGACTTTTATGAAAAATTGCGACTTTTATGAAGAGTTGTGACTTTTATGAAAAATTGTGACTTTTATGGAAGGTTGTGATCTTTCCGAAGGGTTGCAACTTTTCCAAATAGTTGTAACCTTTGCGATAAGGCACAATAAACATTTGTTCACACTACCCTTTGTTGTCTATAAATAGAGGGATTTCCTCTCATTTTAAAACAACAAAAATTCTAAACCTCTTCTTCTTCTTCTTCACAATTAAATATTTGTGTACTTTGATCATTTGAGTGGCTCACTGACACCATTGTTTATGTTACAGATCTTGATATGTAGTTTTATAGTCATTTATTTATTCTTATGTTATTAAGGATAAATGATAAGATGTAATAATTTTCATATAGTGTTATGATTTGTAATTTTGCCTTTTCTTTTAATAAAACAAATGGTAAACTACAATTGAATAACCTCTATACTCTTAAAAATAGATTTATATAAAAATACTATAACATCAAAATATAAGAAAAGTTCTATTCTAATAAATGTTAAAGAAGAATGTTCTAACCGCCCGAAGCACGGGCCCATTTACTAGTTTGTATGAAATTGAATGTATCTAGCGAATTATACAAATCAAAACTCCATAACAAACATAAAATTTGTTATGGAGCGCAATTATGCAAACTATAACTATAACATATAAATATGATTTTTATGATTGTTATATGTGTAAGTTATTTTATTAGATAGTTTTTCATGTATTGATGTCCATCGGCTTACTTAGTAGCCTTTGTTTTGGGCTTTGATAAGAGTAAACATTACGTGGGATGACCATTTTTTAGGTATGCTTAAATAGGAAACTTTCACATATAGCTATCATAATTAAATTAATTATTCTCCTTAGCTAAAGTTTCCATAATTACTAACCGTAGCTATATTTTTAAGTTGCTATAGCGATGATCGGCATTCGGCTGTATAATTCTCTTTTTTTCAAAGTTTTATACAAAATTGAATTCAATTTTTTTGAAAGATAATGGCGGCAATCTCGGCTAGGAAAATGTATAAAATCTCTTAATTCAAAGAATATTAGCTTGTTAGACTTTCCTACAAAGTTATATCTTATTCGTACAATCCAATTGATTTCATCTTCGTACATCCGATTCAATCTCGGCGACAACTTAGTTTTCTCGGCTAGAAA